GTTGGGACCCCTATCTATCTATCTGTTGTGAGGGAGGGAGGGAGGGAGGGAGGGAGGGCCAGGGTGAAGCCTATCCCCCAATAGCCCAGGGGCTGGGTGGTGGTGGTGCCTCTGACTGCTGGGTAAAGGGGAAGATGAACCCTGGTCTGTTTCTCATGCAAGGCTCCAGTGTGGGAGGCAGACAGTTTACTGCAAGCCAGGGCCGACTCAGGGCTCAGTTTCCACCTGCTCAGCCAGTTTTAGGAAGCAAACTTCTCAGAGTGGACTCCCTGCTGTGTATGTGTGCGAGTGGGAATGCATGCATGAATATGAGTCTCTGTGTGTATGGGGGTGTGTGTGTGTATTATTGGAGCCCTTTGCATGTGGTTGTAAATGCAAGTGTTTGTTCCTGTATTTTGATAAAAATAGTGTCTACATTTTCTTTTTAGTGCCTGTCTATTGCGTGTGTGTGTGTGTGTTGGAGGTGACCCATGCAGGAAGGAGGGGGAGGGGGGAGCACCTATTTACATTGGCAGCAACACAAGGGGGAACTGAACTGACTTCAAAGCGAGAGTGCAACGGAATTGTGAAGAGAGTGTGCGCTCCATGCATGAGCTACCAGACAGACTCTCATAACAGAGAGATATTCCCAGAGCTGCTCAGAATGGCCTGTTAGAAACATACTGGAGCTATATCAGCCCTACAGTAGGCCAGCTAGGAGATTATATGTGTGTATAGAGACACTCTACCCACTCAAAATATCACACCTTTTGAAGTTTGTACTGTTGCAGTGGTGAAACAACAAATGAGAGCTTAGGAGTGTTTACTCTTGAGGACAACTTTAAAGGTACATTAATACAATTCTCTATGTACTCTTGCATTTTACGGAATTGGCTCCGTGTTAGCTGACATCCATTAGAGGCCATAGGCTATATCTTATTTAACTGAAAGTTCTGCTTTTGTATTCTAACTCGGGTGTTCCACTTCAATTCATTGGAAGAGTTTTATTTCACAGTGACAGCATATAAACCTTTTTTTAGAGGGCAATCTGCTCAATCCCTGTCTGTATGTCTGTGTGACACAGGGATGCTGCAGACACAGCCCACCATTGAGGACTTTGTGGACGCCCTGGTGACTGACCTGAACCCAGACCTTCATCATGGACTCTACCAGCTGATTAGCTCAATTGATCTTCAACTCTTCAATTCAGTTTCAGCCACGACTTCAATTCTGTTGCTGTGGAATGGACTCACGTGATCAGAAAATGCAATTGATTACTAATCCTTTCAAATGCAGTCACTGTAAACATATGTTTGTTTTTTATGCAATTTTTGTATTCTAGCTATTTACACTGAACAAAAATATAAATGCATCATGCAACATTTTCAAAGATTTTACTGAGTTACAGTTCATATAAGGAAATCAGTCAATTGAAATAAATTCATTAGGCCCTAATCTATGGATTTTACATGACTGGGAATACAGATATCAAATCAAATCAAATCAAATCAAATTTTATTGGTCACATGCGCCGAATACAACAGGTGCAGACATTACAGTGAAATGCTTACTTACAGCCCTTAACCAACAGTGCATTTATTTTAAACAAAAAAGTAAGAATAAAACAACAACAAAAAAAGTGTTGAGAAAAAAAGAGCAGAAGTAAAAAATAAAGTGACAGTAGGGAGGCTATATATACAATAGAATAAAGTGACAGTAGGGAGGCTATATATACAGGGGGGTACCGTTGCATAGTCAATGTGCGGGGGGCACCGGCTAGTTGAGGTAGTTGAGGTAATATGTACATGTGGGTAGAGTTAAAGTGACTATGCATAAGTACTTAACAGAGTAGCAGCAGCGTAAAAAGGATGGGGTGGGGGGGGCAGTGCAAATAGTCCGGGTAGCCATGATTAGCTGTTCAGGAGTCTTATGGCTTGGGGGTAGAAGCTGTTGAGAAGTCTTTTGGACCTAGACTTGGCACTCCGGTACCGCTTGCCGTGCGGTAGCAGAGAGAACAGTCTATGACTAGGGTGACTGGAGTCTTTGACAATTTTGAGGGCCTTCCTCTGACACCGCCTGGTATAGAGGTCCTGGATGGCAGGGAGCTTTGCCCCAGTGATGTACTGGGCCGTACGCACTACCCTCTGTAGTGCCTTGCGGTCAGAGGCCAAGCAGTTGCCATACCAGGCGGTGATGCAACCAGTCAGGATGCTCTCGATGGTGCAGCTGTAGAATTTTTTGAGGATCTGAGGACCCATGCATCTATGCAGATATGCATCTGTTGGTCACAGATACCTTTAAAAAAAGGTAGGGGCGTGGATCAGAAATCCAGTCAGTGTCTGGTGTGACCACCATTTGCCTCATGCAGCGCGACACATCTCCTTTGTGTAGAGTTGATCAGGCTGTTGATTGTGCCCTGTGGAATGTTGTCTCACTCCTCTTCAATGGCTGTGCGAAGTAGCTGGATATTGGCGGGAACTGGAACATGCTGTCGTACACGTCGATCCAGAGAATCCCAAACATGCTCAATAGGTGACATGTCTGGTGAGTATGCAGGCCATGGAAGAACTGGGACATTTTCAGCTTCCAGGAATTGTGTACAGATCCTCGCGACATGGGGCCGTGCATTATCATGCTGAACCATGAGGTGATGGTGTTTCATCAGCTGTCCGGGTGGCTGGTCTCAGACGATCCCGCAGGTGAAGAAGCTGGATGTGGAGGTCCTGGGCTGGCGTGGTTACACGTGGTCTGCGGTTGTGAGGCCGGTTGGACGTACTGCCAAATTCTCTAAAACGAAATTAACATTCAATTCTCTGGCAACAGCTCTGGTGGACATTCCTGCAGTCAGCATGCCAATTGCACACTCCCTCAAAACTTGAGACGTGGGGCATTGTGTTGTGTGACAAAACTTCACATTTTAGAGTGGCCTTTTATTGTCCCCAGCACAAGGTGCACTTATGTAATGATCATGGTGTTTATTCAGCTTCTTTATATGCTACACCTTTCAGGTGGATGGATTATCTTGGCAAAGGAGAAATGTTCACTAACAGGGATGTAAACAAATTTGTGCACAATATTTGAGAGAAATAAGCTTTTTGTGCGTATTGAACATTTATCTTTTATTTCAGCTCATGAAACATGAGACCAAGACTTTACATGTTGCGTTTATATTTTTGTTCAGTGTAGTATTTAGTGATTTGGGTCAACCAAAAGTTCTATGTGGTTCATTAAAGTTTTTTGCAGATCTGTGCATATACCACATGTAATATACCATACTGTCTTTCACATATTTTTTATCATTGATGCATATCAATTATGGAAAGCACAAAAACGACATCCTGTAATTCAGAATATTTATATATCATTGTGCAATATAATCTTCAGCGCTTTGAGAATGTAAGTTTGAAGCATCTGCTCCAATGTCCATATAAATAGATAAGTTGAAGTATGTAGACATTATTATTTTTATTTGTATAATCTGCCCATAGATTTACGGAAGAGAAAATACTCATATCTGTGAGCGTTGAATTACATTTTCTGAAAAAGTATGAGCAGTTCATTGTTATTTCCTGTTCAGATCAGAGGGGACAAACACAACACCTGCTATTCCTGTCATTTTGCCAGTGTTTTGACTTAAAGGCAAATCTGTTCCCTCTGTTTTGTCTAAGTGTTCCTGTTATGGAGAGATGGATGGAGGGAGGGGAGGTTATGGGCAGAGAAGGAAGGATAGAGTGACTCTTAGGTGTTGTGAATCAGCGATTTGAGGGATTTCTGTTTAATTCACACAGAGCACGACCCAGACTGTGACGACTAGCTAAATCAAGTATTACCGGCTGTTGCATCTGTTTCAACAGATTCCGCCTGTAATTACCAGGGGCTGAGGCTGCAGCTGCTCACCATATAATGTCCTTACTTGCCTAGCACTGATATCAGACCTGGGGCATCACCCAGCGAGGTGGGACTTACTTCAGATGGTTAATCAAGGTGTGTACATGCTATCAAAGGGAGCGAGCTGGGTAGCTGTAACCACATGTAGGCCTAAAGTCCAAAATATGAAATCGCTAATGGAAGCTTTATTTTCATTACTTGTATCTATCTTGTTTTGAACCAAATCCAATCATATTATTTTGGGGCAAGTGATATCTTGAGTTTCAGAAAGAGACCCCACTGTATATTGAAGTGAATGTAGTATGTGTGATGTACTGATGATTGCAGGTTGTCTGTTGCCATTGGTGTAGGATTTAAGATGGGACATTTCAGTGCTAGCCACTAGAGATATTTGAACAACAATCAAAATCACATAGTTTGTCTTGTTGAAGTGGTTTATTTACAAATATGGACAATCATATCAAATTAAAGTTAATTGTGGAAGTGTATATGCACAACCACCAATACTACAACTGAAAAAAACAGGCATATTTGTCACTAGTCAGTCATGTCTACGTTACAAAAATATTGACCTATTTTCTATTTTACAATATCTACAACAAATTTGATATCACACACAAACATTCCTTATTGTCTTAACTTGTTCAGTATTATCTAGATTGTCTTCAATGTGCACCAGAAATCACAGACGTATGTTTTGACGTGCTTCTCTTAGGCCTTTTAAGGAGATGTTGCCAGTTATTATCTTGTAACAGTGACTTCACGACAAGACACATCAATAGTCACACTGCCACATCTGTGATACTGTTGCTGCTAGTCACCTACATAAGTAGATGTAAGACATTCTTAAGCAGACATCAGAAACAAAGTGGATGGCTTCTATTTACTTTGTACCAGTCAACAGTCATTTTGTCATCATTTCAACTTCATTATATCAGCCTCTGGCCCGGCAACCTCGCGTTGTGCATAGATTTATTTTCAGTCTCTGCTCTTGTGCTTTATTTTGCAGTGAAGTGCTTTTGTTTGCATTTATTTACATAGTCGCTTCAGATGCGTGACGGAAGGCCGTGGGTCACAAGCCGCTTGAAAGAGATTGTGTGCCACACACTTTTTCGAAATTGGTGTGTGGGCTAGTGTAATCTGAAACGTGATCTTTCTGGACTGTTTTCCGGTCCGGGGCGGTTCAAGAGTGGAACATGAGCCAAATAAATCCATGTCATCCTGGAAAAAGAAAGAGTGGAGAAAAGCACACACGGTCATTGGTAATCTATCTACCTAACATAGGCCAGGCAGGGACCGAGTCAGTTAAAACAAAATCCCTTCGCACAACATCAGAAAGCTCGGCTGGGATCGCGGCCTGGCCCTTTCTTTGCTTCCAGTTTCCATGGACACAACACTGTCCCTGCCGATCAAAGGGAGTGCAACAGTTGTGTTTGTGTGTGTTTGAACTAGGCTGTTAGGACAATGTCTCCTCTGTCCTGACGCCTCTGTGTTGTAGCTTTCTACTTGACTGTGTTTTGCTGGGGCTTATGCTGCTCTGCTCTGAGCTCATTCCCACTCACTGGATTCAATCAGTTCAGACAATCTGCTCTGGCTCTGAAGCTCCATTTGGCAGATACACTGAAGCTTTTTCCATAAATAGCGTGTATCTGTTTTAATGGACTCAACCATTTCTTATCAGTGCAATTTCACATTAATCCGGTACGAACCTGCTATGCAGAAGAATTCTGAATAGATTTTGAGGGGAAGAAGAAGCAGTGATTTTTCTTTCCAGCACATTCCTTTCATGGCATAGTTTAGCTAAGGCCTTTAGTTTCCTGAGCTTAATAGTGTTTGCACTCGCATACTTTCCTCTTTTCTTGACACAGCGAAGAATGGTATGTTACTGTTTTTGTTAATTGCTCATTGGCTCATGTATAACTACTGGGAAAGCTTACCCTAAGTGAGCATCTGAAGTATGTTATACACCAAGCATCGCTCAATTTCAAACTGTATGTACACAGAGGACCATTCTGTCTGTGTCTGCACTGAAGGTCATACAGTACAACAAGACACCACTGACCTTCCAGTGAAGATGGCTGCTGATTTGGAAGGAGGACCTCTGTCAGGGAACCAGTCTTCTCCTGGCTCTGTCTAGCCTGTTCAGTTGGCTTCTGTGTGTCCTCACTTGACCTGCAACCCTCCTCCTCTTCCTCATCTTCCTCCTCACCCTCTTCCTCCACATCACACCTCTCTGTGGGTTCTGGGTTGCAGCGGGGTGGTCCCAAGTTCTCAGCATAGTCAGGGTTCTGCATGAGCGGCCATGTCTCGCCAGCCTCTCTGGAGATGCAGGGCTCTGGATGGGCTTTCAGATAGGCCAGGATGTTCTCCTCACAGGGGTTCACGCTATATCTGTAGGGGAAAATGGAGGCCGTGTCAGCAGCATAAATCTCTCCCAGTCCCAGCAGTAATGATCCAACCACAGTCCCAGGGAGGCACTTCTCTGACAGTAATCTCCCAAACAGACCCAAAGTTAACACCATAACAAGACTGTTGTTGGCCTTGTCTGTGTTTCTCTTCCTGTTCTGAACCAGAGGTGTGTAAAGGAATGTTGTTCGGTTTTGCAAACATTATCCACCACAGCAATGGTTTACTGTATGTCTGTCTACACTTCTAGGTCTTTCTGGGATTCCAGGAGACATGATGTCAAACAATATCAGTTGCTGTGCTTGTTATTGGTTCTTCTGACTGTCATATTTGAGCATCCATGTACTAGAATAGATAGTGATTGGTGTTGATGAATTATGATGTCATGGTCCTCACCCCTCGTTGATGCTGATCTGGGACTGGAAGGGGCTGGTGTCTCTGCTCCGGCCCAGGCTGCAGCTTTCATCACAGCACAGGGAGGGGATCAGGTGCACTGGGCCTGGAGATTACACAGGAAAAACCGTGTGACCGACCGCCAACCATTAGAAAGCATGGATGACCTGGCCAAGAAGCCTCAGTGTACAGTAATGCCAGTACCATAGTGATAAAGTCAAAGACTCCATACAACTTGACAGAGTGACCGGCTTGAGAACCAAGGCTCATAAAGAGTGATGTGAATGTAGAAGCCCACCAGTAATAGGACCTACCACAGGTGTGGCCTGGCCCGTGGTGACACTGGCAGCATGGGCGCTGAGGGAAGTCATGGAGCCTCCGTCGGTCCAGGCACGACAACTCAGCCCCACTATATGGACCGTCCTGGGACCTTAAAGATGCTGAGGTAAAAATACACTTTTTTCATAATGGAGACCCCAAACAAGTGCAAGATAGCAGCTGCTATATTTCAATAGCAAAGCCACCTGTTGGTCCCAATGCTGCACTGAGATTTCCACACCATTGTAATGACTTCTTTCAAGTTCAAGTTGGTCACTCACCGCTGGGTTTCTTCTCCAGCAGCTGTCTCTTGAAGTAGATGACACAGAGGATGAGCAGGGCCAGCAGCACGGTGGCCAGAGCGCTGCAGATGACCGCTGCCAGGGCCATGTCCCGAGGGCTTGTCACCACCGGGGGGATGGGCACCAGGTTCACCCGCCCGCTGCCTGCAGGGGCAGAGAGAGAGACGGGAAGAGAGAGACAGTAAATATGAGCATCAAACGTCACCACTGCAGTTCTTCTGACATAATAACATGGGAATTTACAGTGGAAGTTGTAAATAATTTTTTTCAACTGTATAGTTTGAGAACAACTATATTTTAGAGTCGACTGTGTCATGTCTTTGTCTGACCTTGGTAGTACAATCTGGCCATATTGAAAACAAGTATTTTTCTACACCTGAATTATGTGTCCATTCTAGGTTTATGTTTATTATTGGCATGTAGTAGCTGTCTTTGATCCACTGAGTCCTCCAAGGAGACAGGCTCAAAGGAGAATGCCTGGAGTAGATTATTTATTTCTCCCTTCCTCCCTCCCTCCCTCCAGAGGATGAGTTATTACAGTCATTCTTACCCCTACCCCAAGGCCCTCTCATGCCAGTCAGACAGCCCCGTCATTAAGTCTGTGCAGTCTGGCCAGACGTTTGAAACAAGCCTTGTGTGTGTGTGTGTGTGTGTGTGTGTGTGTGTGTGTGTGTGTGTGTGTGTGTGTGTGTGTGTGTGTGTGTGTGTGTGTGTGTATGTGCGCGCATTCGTGCATGTGTGTTTATCCCATGACTGCAACTGCTGCCACTGTCTAGGATCCCCACCCCCAAACTGTTCACACACTCTCATATTAAGGGACCTGGCCTTTAGGACAGCTTCTCATTAAACACTTTCCCACAAATATGGAATATCAGGGCTTAATGTGCCAGATGTCGCAACAAATTAGATACAATCTCCTTATGCTATATTAGGATTGTGATGATTCTTTATCGGATATAACTATCTGCTTTATTCCTTAACCAAGCAAACAAACTTTGTTGAGGAATAATTTGGTACATGACGGATGTCTAGTCACAAGTTAAACATGTGCAATAAGGCCACTGATATTATCTCAACAAGCAACAGAAGTATGATTGTATTATTATTTTTGGTCAATATTACTCTCCCTCATCACAACAATGACATTCTTATAGAATTTAAAGTGAGTTATGACCTGTGCATAGTTGGAGTGTAGGTTTACATAGAGCGCAAACAAAATACCTAAAGAAATACTATGCCTGCTATGACAAAGTGACTGGCTACTCTCCCCATAGAGAAAATAGAGATTGTGTGAGATCTGTTTAATATCTTTTTTGTTTGAAAAATATTTTTCAATAGGCCCCTTCAATCGCTGTTTGCTTTATAGTACATTAATCATAAAGCAAAGTAGGTTTGGCCTTTTCAAATTCAAGAGCCCTTTGTTACGCAATGTAAACATTACTTTAGCCTTGGCCAAAGGTTTTATATTCCAGCGGGATAGAGGATAGGGGATAAGGGTATTTGTACATTCCATCTGAGGAAGAAAACAATCCCAAACTGCCGGTGAAGCTTAAAATTTCAATATGACCCGGGGGCTAAATAAATAAGCATTTAAATATACATTGTAAACAAACAGGTGATAACGGCTTATTAAAAGAAGATTAGGACGTTTCAGGGGAGATAGGTCTTCAAAACTGTTATGACAGAAACCAAGTGCCATTTTCTAACAGTTTTGACAAGAGAGTCAACAGGAGTGCACTGCTCAGATCAAGGCAAATACATAAATTACACTAGACAGTTTATATAGCGCAATATATGTTGAGATTATTTTGTGAGGATACAGTAACATTCTCCACTAAATCAAACAGCTTCAAAAGAATCATTGGAATGTGCTTCCTATCAACATTTTGGAATGTCCTCTATCAAAGTAATCATAAATTACTTGCTGAAAGATTTGACTGAACACCTACACCCATGCTTACACCTACACCCATGCTTACACCTACACCCATGCTTACACCTACACCCATGCTTACACAAGCAAGGCACATCATTTTCTCACCATGGTGCAGAAACCCTCTCAGACTTTTTCTTCCACTGTACAGTTGTTGAAACCTCATGTCATGGCCGTCCCGCCTCTGATCCAGCCAGCCCTCCCCACTCCCCTCCGCAGTCAGCTGTGTCTCCCCACACCCCCAGCCCAGTGGCAGCCCTTATCACTCCCAGACAGCTGCAGCAAACACAGATTAAGGCTGGCCCATTGAGGAGACCTCACCTGCCGATCTTATCAACAAACCGCACTCTGCCAATAAACTGCTCATTTTGATATATGCTCTCCTCTCTCCCTGTTGACTTTTGGAAATGCCAAACTTAAAGCCATGGCCTTGTGTATGACAGGCCACAAAGAGACATGGAACCACCAACCCACTGGCACAGATGTCAGTTCATTGTCTAGTTTTGATGTACATTTGGTTGAGTAGTCAACTAACGTGAATTCAACGTGAAATCAACAACAAAAAATCACCTTGTCATTAGATTTAGGTTAAGAAATTTTTGTATCTTACGTTGATTACTTTTTTCAAATCCTACCAGTTTTCCACGTTGATTCAACGTCATCATGTGATTTTTGGGGGGTTGAAATGATGTGGAAGCAACGTTGATTCAACCAGTTTTTGCCCAGTGGAAAGTATGAATGGCCTCTTCTGAAAACTAATGGTGACCCCATCCGCATTCATCACCTGTGAAACTTCTGAGATTTTGACTGGAATTACTTCCCATTGACAAAAAGGTATTGGCCTTCCACAACCATGAGTTTGTCTTTTTGGCTAAACAGATCTTCCTATCATAAATACAGCCAACACCCCTTTAAGTGTTGCAAGAAAAACAAACTAGCATTGCCATGCGGTTGTGGGTTTATGCATTTGCATGGATACTTGATTACGGCAGTGGTGAGGAGCTTTACTGCTCTGAGCGTAAACACTTCACTTATGTCAAGTCTTGATTGGCTCTTGAGTGACTTTGTTTTGGTGGAGTTGATTTTAAGGGTTGACCGCTCTCATTTGGCTTGCGTTGGTTTGCAACTCAATCTAGATCATTTTCTGCATGCTGCTAACGCTGTACTTTTTTTTACAGTCAGTGGTTAGGAAACATGGCATGGACCTTTTGAAATGAGGAAAGTAGAAGAAAATAAAGGTTGAGATAAAGTTGTCTGAATGTAACAAGTTGAGAGATGTGGATGGATATCAGTCGGGTCATGAGTTTTAGGGTCTTGAGTAGCCCTGGCCACAGGCCCTATCTCTAGGAAAAGTGTTACAGTTGCATGAAGAGGTGACAAGAGTCTGCATTTTCTTTCAACAGGCTGACCTGAACGCTTGTGGAATTTGCATCGGATTGCTTCAAACAAAATTGAACTGACTTCCTTTTGTGTATGCTGTGAAATCCTGGTTTGAGATACAAGAGGCCAAAAATATTTATCTGACTGTTAAGCTTCCAACTTAAATAAGATTAATGTCAGGGTGTAGAACAAAAACCAACTCAAAGCCAAAGCAATGATTGTTGGTTTGGTAATAGAAAAAACAGACAAAATTCCCATGTGACCTTGGCGTAAATCTGTTTGGAATAAGTAAAAATGGCGAAACGGTTCTGGAGCTGGGGAGTGGGGGGATTGGGGGGGGGCTACGGCCGGTCTCTCTCCAGCCAACTTTTACAGCTCTACCGTAGGGGTGGGCGGTATACCGGTATGAATGTGAATACCGGTATGACGTTGTGCCATGTTATGGATTTTGCCATATCGTGCATATCATGATAAATTAATATATGAAATAAGGCGTTTTTGTTTCGTTCAAAATGTCTGTTGAGTGATACAGCCTAATGGGCTAGTTCAAATTGTTTCTTTTACTAAAAACATAGCCTTTTTTAGCAAAGAAAAAAACTAGAAGCATGAACGTTACACGCAATCTGCCTGCCAATCAAAGTCAACAAACAAGCATGCGCAACTGCAGAGTAAGCGAACATTTAGTGAAGTAAACTCCTTTCGTTAGCAAAAGTGTCCGAAAATCAAGCGCAAAAGTGTAAGGAAGCATTGAGGATGACTGAAGACAAGGAAAATAACGCTATTGAGGTTGATTTGCAGGACGACGAAGAATTGGTTCGAAAAAAGGGGGCCTCCTCTGTCGTTTGGAATTGGTTTGGCTTTAAGATATCCGACCTCAATCAACAAACAGTACTGTGTAAGTTGTGTCTACGCATTGTGCTAGCCAAAGGTGGAAACACCAGCAATCTTTTTCACCACCTGAAAACCCTGCATGTGTGCGAATATGAAGAATCTACCAGAATGTGTGCAACAAACCCCCGGAGCAGCGGAGCAAGTCCCAAGACCTCTTCAAGCCAGACCCGCACTCAGCTATCACTCAAGGCATCATTCGTTAGTGGTACTTCCTATGACAAGAAGAGCAAGAAGTGGAATGAGATAACGAGTGCAATTATGTATCACAAAGCGAAAGACATGGAACCAATTCAAACTGTTGAGAAAGACTGTTTAAAAAAGTTGATTCGAACTCTAGACCCAAGATACGAGATCCCGAGCCGTAAATACTTCAGCAAAACATGTCTGCCAGAACTCTACACAGAATGTCGGGACAGAGTTGCCAACGGAATCTGTAATGCTGCATTCTTCTTTACCACTGCCGACTTATGGTCAAGCCGGACCACAGAACCATACATTAGCCTCACGATTCATTACATTGACGACAACTGGAAGCTGCAAAGCAAATGCCTTCAGACATCTTATTTCCCAGACGACCACACCAGAGAAATAATTGCAGCTGGGCTGAGGGAGGCACTTTCATCCTGGGGCTTGAAAGAGTCGCTTCAAGTATGTATGACAACCGACAGCGGATCGAACATGGTCAAAGCATTGGAGCTGAACAAATGGACAAGACTAGGATGTTTCGGACACAGGCTACACATTGCTATTGGTAAGTTTCAACATCCAAAACACATAGAGCTAGGTAGAAAAATAACGTAACTTAAAAACAACTTAAAATGCTGAATAACTATTGTGTTCCTTATCTCCTCTGTTTAAAGTTATAGCTGACTACACTGCCTGATCCTTCTTTTACGTTAAGCCGAATATATACTGCTATGCAAATCTATAATATTCCATTCCACTCCCCATCAGAGCACTTGACAGTCGACCATTAGGATCCGGGTTCGTTAGGGAAGTTACAGCACCAGTCA